CAGAGATGGATAAACTAAGTGTAACACTTCAGGGGCAAAAAGAAAGTCTGTTTATAGAAAGATGGGAACGTCTGTATAGTTGGATAAATGTGGAAGTATTGTAAAGTGACTCCATAAGCGAGGGTGATGAACTATGTAACATGGAATATGTTTTTGGTTTTTATGAAAATAAAATACTATTTAACACACATATTGCCCTCTCTTCTTATGCAAGCAGACTTTATAACCTTGTTGGGGAAAATGTATCTCTGTGAAACAGTTGTTGTCAAGTTCATGCTTGTTGGGGGGGGGGGGGGGGGACAAGGAACCCAGAGCACACTAGTATGGTTGTTGATTGCTATTTAACGGAGCAATGAAAGGGCAATGTCTGGAGGGGAGTCCCTTGCAAGATGAGTATGCATGACATAGGCACATTGAAAAGTCAATATGCTGTCTTTCTCCTGCCACCTTTTCCCACAATCCACCCTCTTCCATTAACAGGTAACACAAACATTTGTGTCCTTCAAGAAAACATGAAGTTGATGTATTTGCCAAAAGAACACACCACAGGACCTCTTGGGATAAATGACAAGAAAATTTCTGCTTTCCCACCTGCCAAGAAATCCCCTGCCTTCTAAGTCATGAGTTTAAAAATGCTGTTCAGACACATGGGACATTATTTATTTACCTATCACAACTCTGTTCATCTCTCACACTACCAGAGCAGATAGTTTTCACTATATTTTCTGCTTCTTTAACCCAGATTCTTCCAGCTGAGCTCACCAAGAGAGACAAAGGTTGTGGGACTTGTTCAGAAGTCACACAGGAGAGCAAATTCCTCCCTGTACATATGTAAGACATGAGAACTTTCAGAGTACTCCAAGGCCAGAGGAGACTATTAGAGAGGTGAACATCTGACCTCCATGTGCAAAACAAAACAAAAAAAAGGCACAGAAGAAATCCAACCACTTAATTCCCGCCTTGCAACTCTGAAGGGAGATCACTGCCCTTGGCTCTCTCTAACAATTCTGGCTCCATAGTACTGGGAAATATTAATTCCCTTGAATCAGGGAATGTGAGTGCAGATTGGGTCAGCGGCTCCTGACCCAGTGCATGTCACATATATTGTCTGGCCTTCCCATGCTAGAGAAACACAGACTCTCAGCCTCTGATAGTACATATTGAGTATGCTATTGCACAGGTAAACATGGGAAGCTTTATCATAAGTAAGAACCCTAGTTCCAACAAGCACCCTACAAAAATCGCAGGCAGCATTCTTTCCCACACCTTGGACCAGAGGTCTTGTTATAAATGAAGATGTCAGGCATTGAGCCTGAAATCCTTGGCATGCCAAAGATGAGCTTTACCCTGTGCTTTACTAGTCCTATGCCAACACGTATCATATTGTTTTACTGCATTTTTTTCTAATTTTGCAATCAGTTTTATTGCATTACTAGGAATCAGGCTCGTTGTAACAGTGAAGACAACGAGCGCTAGCTTGGCCACCCAGCCGCAGGGCCTCGGCCCCCTCGGCCGCCTGAGCCCACAGCAGATGAAGGGCCCCGAAAGTGCTCCCCCCTGGCTGCCCGAGGGGCTGGCAGGCCCAGGCGGGTGGCGTCGTTCCTCCCCCCTGCCAGAGGGCAGGTCTACCCACCCCCTTCCACTATCTGGGTAGACCTGCCCTCTGGAGAACAGTTCTACCCACCCCATTCCACTGCATTGGTAGGCCTGGTCTGTGGAGAACAGGTCTACCCACCCCCTTCCACCATCTTGATAGACTTGGCCTCTGGAGAACAGGTCAACCCCCCCCTCCACTGTCTTGGTAGGCAAGGCCTCTGGAGAGCAGGTTTACCCACCCCCTTCTACTATCTTGGTAGACCTGGCCTTTGGAGGTCTACCCACCCCCTTCCACTATATTGGTAGCCCTGGCCTCTGGAGAACAGGGCCAGGTAGACCTGTCCTCCAGAGGACAGGTCTACCAACATAGTGGAAGGGGGGGG